AGTAACGTGTTGCAAGAATCTCTGAACCCCTTTTTAGGAGTGAACCCTGTTGGAGTTGATGTTGCAATAAATACGGAACCCTTTGATTTACCTCAACCGACTCGTCCTTTATTGGGAGAACAAACAGCCCCGAAAACTGAACCCTCACAGTAGTTTATAAAGCATTGATTCATCTTCTGAAATTCTTTGGTGCACTTCGGTAGGCAGAGGATATCTGCAATATGATCTCAAGTGCCTCTTCCTTTTTGAAAATCCAGCTTGAACATCAGGCATTTCTCATTTCATATAAGGTAAAAGTCTTTGTTGCAAAACCTTGAGTATCACTTTGCTTGCATGGGAAATTAGAGCAATCATTTTATAGTTACTGCACTCCTTGATATCTCCTTACTTGAGGATTGGAATGTATATTAAACATTGCCAGTCTGTGAGCCACTGTTTTGTTTTCTATTTTGGCATATTCTTGTTAGGATTTTATCAGATTCAGTCTCTGAAGCTTGAAATAATTCTATCAGTATCCCACCTATCCCTGATTTCTTTCCAGTGCTTTCAGAGCAACTTTTACTTTACTTTCTATAATTGCAGATTTTTCTTCATCAATTCTTCAAAGGAATCTCTCATTCTTTTATGTCTTCTGTACAGATCTTCAGTATACTGAAAAACTGTATTCAGGGTTCTGACCTTATTTTTGCTACCCTGTACTTCCATTTCTTGTCTGTCCTTTACTGTTTTAAGTGTTTCTTCTGTCATCCATCTGGAGCTTTTCTTTTTTTAATATAGGGATCGTCTTTTTGCAATCTGATGTAACAATTTCTCTAGTTACAATCCACAATTCCTCCGGTTCTCAGTCAATTGAATTTAGCAATGCAAATGCGTTCTTTATGTGGACTTCAAATTACTGTAATCAGAAATGTTTAAATTACATTTTGGCACTGGGCTTCTTTTAGTGCTTTTGTTCAGTTTTATTCTAATAGTTGATATTAACAGTTCATGATCAATACCACTATCTGCTTCTGGTCTTGTTTTGGCAGACAGAACACAGCTTCTCCCTCTCTTGCTTCCAATTGCATAGTCTATTTGATTTCTATATTGGCCAGCTGGTGATGTCCACATGTACAACCATCAGATAGTCATCTCAAAATATGGTGGTACTTTGGTAAACCATGTGTACCTGAATGTACCTATTACGACAGTCATTATGCAGATGTTCAGAAAGAGGTAAGTTGTACATAAGGGGGGGGGGAAAGAAGTGTGACAGCTCCATCACTTCCACACCATGTTTTCTCAGGATATCCATGAAGATGGCGAGCGACACAAGATACCTGGAGTCTCTCTGTCCCAAAGGCAGCTGCCCTCAAAACATGGAGGGTAGCAAAAATAGGGATGGGGTTGACAGGAGGGCATGGGCAGTTGTGTCTCCTCTCTCTGTGCATGAGAACGTAATTGCTTTATAAACACCTGCATAGAACTTGAGGTTATTCACTTATCAACGTTAGTGGTTCTCAAACCTTTGATTCACCATATTTGAGTGGGGGCCTTCAACTGCAAAGTCGGCATAGACCATTGTAAAGGATTGTGAGAATTTAAGTCCAAAACATATGGGGGACAAAAGGCTGAAAACCTCTTGTTTTGCTCCAGAATGCCTTAGTTATTGACCATGTCCACATAGGGTTCAGGTGTTGCCAAGGCATCACTTCTGGTTCTCTGAAAACAGATCAAAACACTGTCTGTTGGGTCTAGTCCACTTTTAGGTTGTTTGGGACTGTGTGGAAGTGTTTCCCTTTTAGAAATTTACATTCTTGAGCCAGGAGGGGAAACTGATAATGTCTGGCATTGTTGTGTGGGACAATCTTAGGAAACTGGTTAAGTACCCACCCTTGGCATTGAATGTATAGATTTAGACTCATTAACTAAGGGCCCTAAGGACAGTGAGGTAGTAGATGCAAGAGTCACAGGGTGAAAGCTCTGGGACTTTCTGAATAGCAAGGACTGTGAAATCACCTGGCACCCATCTGAGTCCCTTCTGTTCCTTCTCAGTTGAACTGCAAGGCCCAGGAACTATATATTGTTTTGAGTTATTCGTGCTGTAATGCAAAATATTTGTGTCAGATTTGTTCTCGAAAAGGCAATTACGAGCCATTAGCTTTAAAGACCTGCTCCTTGGTTGTTGATATGGGATCCTGCAACCTGCCTTTTTGGACTCCCTTTTTGGTAGGGGCTGGTTAAGGGATTCTCATGAGTCCCTGCACTTCCAAACTTACCACTACGCCACTGCCTGTGGGCCCAGAGGAGTACCAGATTGCACAGAGAAGCATGGAGACAGAGGAAACTTGCTAGCAGTAATTGGGGAGCTGATTGAACTCCCTTTTATCCTTCTTCCCTCTTGCACACATTTTAAAATGTTGGTATACAGTACTTATTGTTTTTAGCTTTTTGAATATGGTTCTTTTTATAATGTAAGCTGCCTTGGTACCTTTTAAAGAGAAATATGGGGTAAAAAGTATTTGAAATAAATAATTAATAATTAAATATTTTAAAATGTGCAGTGTGAATATGATGTGCTGATTGCAGACACATCTTACAGATAAGGAAACTGAGATCTCAAAAGTGTTTATACTCTTATTACCATGATGCCTAGTTTGACTTTGTTGAGGAGACATTTGTGAAAAGAGCTCAAAGTGACAGGCAAAAATCCTGTTCCATAAATCAGTCCTGCGTAAGGATAATAATGTCACCAGCAGGGGAGGATTTTAGGTTAATTAAAGAGGCTTTTCCTGTCCTGGGGCTTGCATGAGACAGATTACACATGAATCGGAGGAACAGTGGAACAGAAGCAGGAACCCTTCAATTACCAAAAATCTCCCTCTACCAGTGATATCATCATCCTTACACAGGGACAACTTACAGAATGGGATTTTGGTCATCGTTGCTAGCCTCACCCAGAATGTGTGGCTTTTGATCTTCCTAGGAGTTTCTCTCCCTGCTCCTTCCCACACGCAGATGGAGCGGGGGGGGGGCGGAATCCAGAAGACACGGTCATGGAAGATATCTATTATCAACCGCCATGATAGCTGTGTAAAGAGGTACCCTGTGGTTCTCCTACCTGGCTTGTCTTTTGATCAAACAAGCTGTGTACTGGAGCAGCACAGAAGGCAATGCCTGTAATCTGGCAGTTCCATCTGTCTCTGGTTTTTTGTTTTAGCCTTTAGGGCAAAGGCTGTGTGTGCCAGGATGTTGTGCAACTGCTTGACCTTTGCCCAGCTGGGGCTGAACACAATTCCTGCTGTTCCTGTGTCTCATCCAAATAGTCTCTTCAGTACGCAACTAGGACCCACCCATGGCTCATTCTCTTTCGTCGTAATTTATGGAGCAAACATCTACCTCTGCACAGCCTGCCTGCCAGGATCCCAGCTGCCTCTAGGTGCAGTCAACTCGAACCATACTGATTTCCTAGCTGTGCTTTATGAAGTATTAATGCACGCCAATCCTCACCAGAGGGTGCTGAGGTCCAAATGGGAAGCCTTTCAAAGAGATCTTCTGTTGAATAGCTGCAGGCCTACAAGGTCTGCTGATCCTGTGGGGAGAGGGTCCTGGTCCAAGAGGGTAAAACAAACAGGTTCTTGTGCCCCCGCCAAGAATAAAAATGGCTCCCACGGTTAAGAATCCCACCATTCAAGGCCTGCCAAAGACATCTGCTGCCTAAGCCGGACTAACAAATGGTGCTACCTCCCACCCCTCGGCAAGGTGGATAGTATCCAAAGCCAGCCAAGTTATTTCGGCATCTGAAGCAGAAAAATTCTACATCTCCTCCTTTCAGCAGGAACAATAAGAGTGATTATATATTAAAGAAGCAACCATATCTTACCCTTTCAATGACACCCCCCGATGAGCTGCCTGAGGCATCCATTTCACTTTCCCTAATGGTATAACCAGTCTTGCCAGGGCTAAAACCAAGGACCCCCTTTCTTGCCAAAACATATTGCTGGTATTGGCCCAAGGCAGTTCAGCGGCCACGGCTGGGTATGCTTCAGTTCATCATACAATCCTTTGCTTGAGCAGGAGATGATTTTATTAGACCATTAAGTCCTACCACTGTGGCAGCCTAAGAATATTTGTTCACTGGCAACAATACACATTGTTTTGTTTGTTTCTTCCAAGAGGAAAGGAAAACAGAGTGGCTAAAAAGCATGGACTCTTGTATTGTTAGATCTGTGCAAAACTGTTTCTGGTTACAGGACCCTTGTTCTTCCTTTACATATGACACCTCAGGACAATGGTTTCCAACCAATGTTCCCTCTAATTTTCTGCAAGCGTGGGATGGGAGGGCTGCCCCATGTGCCCAGGCTTCTGGTTGCAACCGGAAGCAAATGGGGGGGAACTCTGGATTGATTGCACGGGCCCGATCCAGACTACATGGTTGCGTGGTCATGCAGCTTGGAGGGAACATTGTACAGTATCTAACTGCTGGTAAACATACTGGTGAGCTGCAGAAGCAGTCTAAGTGGGAAGCAAGATTTTGTAACAATAACTGACCATTTATTTTCAGCTCCCTTGATCTCCTGCAAATGTGACATGCCACCTCCTAATTGATGCCATGGAATATCCACCTACGACTTTTTGACAGGTCAGCAGTGTACACTCAGTGGCTGAAATCTTGTTCTTTAGTGTAGTAAGTCACACTAGAGTAGTTCCACCAAATCACTGAGATTTGGTGAGTCAAGTCCTCCATAAGTTCCACTGTTTCAAAAAGACCTACTCTTACTACAAGTAAGTCACAACTACAGTAGGTCTCTATTTGAATCATGTTTCCCTGAGTCAAATTTAGTGCCATCTGGCTTCCCCCGTTCCAACCCCCTGAGGCAGTGGTCCTAATGGCAGAACAGCTTCTGATGAAATTAGCCACAGGGATGACAAAAACCAAGAGGATTTCGCAAAACATGCACAGAGATGCCCAGTAAAACCCATGGCCGGAAGTAAAAGTTTTTTTTTCCCCTCTCAGCCTTTCTGGTTTACTTACATTTTTCAGTTTTTTGCAATGTGGAGTTTCTAAAATCACCCACCTCGCTTTGGTGTTTGTAGGGGAAAGTGGGAAGATTTCCAAGCAAGTCATGATATGACTGAAATACCAGATGCTGCTTTAATTACTCATGGCACAAAGCCTATGGTGTGAAGGCTCAATTGTTGCTCCCCTTCCTTGCAGACTATTTGGCTGGTGGGACTTTAATGTTTCCTTGAGGGCTGCAGTGCAGGTTCCTTGAAGGAAAGGATGTTTATCAGATCATGGGCCTTCACCCTAGAGCATCAAGGCTTTCCCATCACCCACAGAATAAATATACACGCTCACACAACAATACAGAAGGACCAAATAATTTAAGTGACAGGAAAATGTGTCTTATGAAACATCTCTGATTAATACCCTTCACTTGTGAAAGAAAAGCAGGATAAGCATATAACAGACAACCGCTAATAAAAATAAGGGACACCACTGGAGTGAAAAGCAAACCTTTTTTTGCTGGCAACCCCAATATCTGAGGGGAGAGTCTGACATCTGCCTCCTTGGAAATGTGTGTCATTCTGCAGCATGTTCGTTTTGACCCTCCAAAAACTCAGTGAGGGAAATTGAATGTATATAATTTGTATTTCTGAACCGACGTGCAAACTGAAATACAATTACACCTTGAGGTCTACTTTTCCCATTTGGTGTTGAAGTTCCCCAAATAAAAACTGCACATATTAAGGAGGGGAGGGGAAGTAAAACAGATTAGGGGAAATTTGTTTGCACAGGTATGCGTACGAGAAGTATGCAGATATGCAGAAGTATGCAGATACGCATGTATTCGGAGAAATACACATGAAAATGCATAGATGGTTTTTTTGAGGTCTTTTTTTTTTTTAAAAAACTGCAAATCAATCAAAGAAAAGGACAAAATGAAACTTCAGGTTGGAAAAATGAGAAGCTGCATGAAACAGAACTTAACAGATTTGTCTGGACACAGCTCAGAGCAGAGGACTCCTTCTTTCTAGTTCACAGGATGCAATGTATAACACTCTGTGTGTGTGATGGGGGGGAGAGAGAGATGAATCAGGAAATTAATTCACAGCTCTGGACAATGTCTATTCACAGCAGCAGAGGCTACAGAGGTTTAAGGGGTGGGATTTTTTAAAATGGGGGAGAAAAGAGGTGTTTACCCAGACATGCAAGAACACAGTTCTGAAGCTAGGTGTCAAACACCCATTTCTTTTTGTTCCATCACTTCCATTTCTCCCAGTGCTCAAGGCTCCACCCTTCCCTCACATTCTTGCATCCAATGCACTCAAATGGACAGGGTGGCGTTAAGAGCAGGGCTGAAAGGAGGGACTCAAGCGGGCAAAACCAGGGTGGAGTCAGGTGGCTGTAACTGCCTGCTTTTATTCACAGTACCCTGCCTAAAAGTCTGTCCTTTGGGAGGTGGGAGAGAACATTAGGATTTCTTATTTTTTTTAATGTACAGATATTTTTCAGTGCATATACTGTTGTTCCAAGAACGGTCACATTTACTATGAACAGTTAAAAAAAAAATCTTACCAAAACAAAATCTTCCAAAACAGGAAAAAAAAAACCCACATTTTTAAAAAAATTCCTTGCAGTTCCCTAGAATGCAATCCATTTGGTGTTGGATTCCAGGCGCACTGCTTGGTAATTTTATAACACTCACAATAATGCTTATCCTAAGAACAGCCACAGGCTTTTGCTTTTGCTTCTTTTTTTTTAACCTGTTTGTATACGAAACATGAATCAGTTTTACTCCACGGTCATTTCGTAAACGGGTTTCGAGATGTGCACCATTTCCCCCACAGTGTTTCTCCAAGAAAACTCTAGTGCAATTTCTCTTGGAAACGGACGCCTTGTTGTGAAACTCTGTGCAAATCAAAGCAACTGAAGAAGAGTCAGGGACTTAGACAGAGAGGCCGGATCCGCAGAGGCCAAATACTGACAGCAGAGCCAATCTTCCAGCTCTACCTTCCGCTCGGCATCCACCGCCCTTTCGGCAAACTTCATCATGAGCAACGCCCGCTTCATATCGATCCAGTTGCGAAGCGCCCCGTGGAGAGCTTCCTCGTGGTTGCACAGCTGGTCCGTCAAGTCTTTCCGGGGACCCCACAGAAGACACTGCAGGATCCGCTTGGCCTCCACGATGCGGATGCGCTTGATGGGGTCGGCTTCGAGCAGCAAGTGAGCCAGCTGCTGGAGCCCCCGGGAATAAATGGAAAAGTTGGGAAGCGGGGGGAGATCCTCCTGGCTGTACCCTTGTTCTCGGAGGTGGGCCTTCACCTCAAAGGGGTTGGGCTGGTGCAGCAGCTCATAGATAAGGATGCCAGTTTGGAACTCGTCAAACTTTCTGTATTGGGAAGCAGAGACAATCTCCGGAGCCAGCCGGGCTTGATTCTTTTTCCCTTTAGACTCAGTTGTCCCTGGCTTCTGCTTGGCTTTCAAAAAGTTGCTGATGATGAGCCGGGGCAGGTGCTTTTCCTCTTTGGTTTTACTGCAGCCAGGAAGAGGTTTGCAGTGCACCAGCAGCAAATTCTCTAGGCAGAGGTCTCTGTGGATGACACTGTACTCTTTGAGGTGCTCCAGCCCGTTGCAGAGCTGAAGGAGCAAAAAACACACCCGCCTCTCATACAGCTCCGGCTTTGCTTTGTGCAAAGACCCAGCGTCCCTCACAAAGTCGGCAGCCGTCTGGTAGGGCACCTCGCGGGTAATGACGACCACACAGTCTTGCTCTGTGGTGGCAGCGGCCCGGGAGGAGCCCTGGCTCTCCGCGGGAACGTTTCTCAACATGCTGGAGGGCACGGAGGCGACAAAATGGCCGCAGTCCTGCTGGATGTTGAAGTGAATGGGGACCGAAGGGCTGCAGCAGGACGTGGCCGCTTTGGTGTCTTGGGATTTACAGATCTGTGAAAGAGAAAGCAGAGAAATGACAGAGACAGAGCCTGAGAAGAAGGTCATTTTATTTCTATGGGCAGGGGTAGAATTAGCTCCAGAGAAACAGACATCCACCAAGGAGGTACATACAGAGTGACCAGCCAGGAAGACAGTGTAAATGACACCTGAGGAGTCCAGAGTCAAGCTTTTAGGGTTCTCTAGCAATGCGAACATAGATTTAACTACACATTTTGTTGTGAGATATGGCTAAGGGCGAATTGGGAACTTATTCTAACTTTGCACACCACCAAAAGCCTAAATACATGCTATCTAATGGTTTAACACCCATCTGTTTTCTATTTTTCGTAGGCATGTTAGTATACTGCTGTAATGTCTTCTCTCTTGAAGAATGTCCAGTAGTATCTTTAATTTATTATGATATTTTAAAGAAAACTTGCACCATAATACATTTCTTACTCTTTTAAGGCACTGTTCTTCATTGCTTCTGTTTCCTTTACTGATTTTAACACAACAAGCTGATACGACCGACCCCTTCCTATGAACTTAATTCAGCAAATAGAGAAAGAGACTTCTTCATCCCACATTGGCCTTAAGTTGAGCCAGGCAGACAGCAAACAATGTCCTGGGTGAACTACTACATGCGCTATCCCATGCTTAGGTACCACAAGGCCCTCTTGCCCCTCCCTTGGAGATGTCTACTGAGGTCCTACAAAGAGGATTACCAGTCAGAGCACTGAAGAACAGTCTATGTTTGAAGGGCCTCAAATTCTACCTGACAGGGATGGGATTTTTTCAGAATTTAGGACTTGAAGTCCAAAAGTTGCCCAGAACGTCCACGACAGATTTCTGGCCCCAGGAGTGGAGAAAAGAGAAGGACAAAGAGAGGTTTCTGTACCACCATTTTCTGCCTCATTCCACATGTATCGGCTGAGGCGAAGAAGGGAATCTCTCCCCCACCATGCCGCTTCTTGCTAGGAATTGGCCAGGTGCACCATAGGAGGGGAGTTCAAAGAGAAGCATCCCATATATAGCGTTTAATAGGTAGCGAGGCTACCCTGTTTCCCTGAAAATAAGACCTAACCTGAAAATAAGCCCTAGTATGATTTTTCAGGATGCTCGTAATATCATCCCTATCCCAAAGTTAAGCAAAAGCCCACCCTCCACCACTGTGCAGCAACCAGAATATAACATGACTGTATTTAAATAAACGTAAATTGTTGTACATAAAAAAAAAAATTGAAACATCCCCTGAAAATAGCCTCCACAGCTTTTTTTGGAGCAAAAATTAATATAAGACCCTGTCTTATTTTCGGGGAAACACAGTAGTCTCCCCATGCGCACTAGGGTAATTCCCAGCAACTATCCCTACTGTCTGCAGCCAGAAGGAAGAAACATATAGTAGATGGAATCCTAATCCAGAGCCAAAAATATTTGTTACAGAAAGCCTGTCATTAGAAAAGTGGATACCTTAAATTCTGAAAACACATGCATGTCATGGCAGGAGTTTTCTTCCCCATCTCCTACAGTTTATATCTTAGCTTGCTTTGTTTTGTGACGTGTCACTGGGAAGGAAACAGGGGCTCTGTTTGCAAGTATGACTGCTCAGCTATCAAGGTCTGCCTAAATCACACTAACACGATTTCAGCTTCTAATGATGGGTATATGCAAGATACAGTTTGCCCCTTGACAGATCCTGTCATCTGCTCTAATCCCTAAAAACACTCCTCTGGTCACCTCAGAGCTGTTTCTTTTTATCCCCTTCCTTAAGCACACTTCAATTTATTGTTACTGTTACTAATATTACTACAGCCGTTTTGTTCTTTTAAAGCAACACAATCACAAAGTCAAACACCAGGTCTTCAGGAGAATCCATTGGACAACAGGCTTCTTATATTAATAATCCATTACATCTGCTATGCTGCAAGGCCTTTCAACATTGTTTTTTTTTTTAATGGTTTTATTTGAGAGCTTATTTATACCTAATCCTGGCTTGAACTGCAGCCAAAGAGCCCTCCGCCCCCTGGAGCCATTGCGTTTCCCTTTTAGCTTGGATGCAAAATCCAGGCTGGCTTTTTTGTATTCTGCAGAACACGCTACACATTCCAAATCCTGCAAACCTCACTGAGTACTAAAAAAAAAAGAGAAGAAGTTTCCCTCTGCCTCTGAAAAGAAATTTCAGTATCTATGTGGAGAAAATAATTTCCCCATGTAAATCATTTATTTAAATAATGCAAGACTAGCCTGTAAAAGTTCGGAAAGATCCACAACAAAATTTATATCAAATGCTTTAAATTGGAGATAAAAATTGTTTTCTATTGCAACCATAATACATCAGCCAAATAGTGGGGAATGAGCAAAAATTTGATCTAATGGCCACCCGAATGGAGGAATTACTTTTAATTGTATTCTATATTTAAAATAATGGCCAAAATCCAGTAGTAAGTCACTACTACAACAAGCCGACGGTAGATGTGGTGAGTCAACTCCTCTGTATACAGTGGTGCCTCGCATAGCGACGTTAATCCGTGCAGCAAAAATCGCTGCTAAGCAATTTCTTCACTATGCGATTTTAAAAAGCCCATAGAAATGCATTAAAACCTGTTTAATGCATTCCTATGGGCTTAAAACTCACCTTAAAGCGAAGATCCTCCATACGGCGGCCATTTTCGCTGCCTCTTAAGTGAGGAATCTGTCCCTACACACAGCAGGCGGCCATTTTGGAAAAGCCGATCAGCTGTTAAAAAATAATCGCTTTGCGATGATCGGTAAGCGAAACAGGGAACCCGATCATCGCAAAGCGAAAAAAACCCATTTAAAACATCCCAATGCGATCGCTTTTGCGATCTCAAAAACTTAATCGCTATGCGGTTTCGTCGCTAAACGGAGCGCCCGTTAAGCGAGGCACCACTGTATTCCATTGAATATACTACTAGATTTTAGCTATTATGATTGGCAAATGCCCTTGTGTGCTATTACTTTGAGAATAGGAGCTTTAAGCTGCCAAATGTTTTTTTCCATCATTAAAGTAGAATGAATATGCTATATAGAATATTGTATGCTACTATTACTTTCAAGAGCTGCACTGCTGTGCACAATCAGGCAACTTTAAATCCCACTGATTTTGATGGGATGTCAACAGCCAAAGTGAACACTGGAATTGCAGTCTTAAGCTTCCTGCCTAGTGTTGCACTTAAGCCAATACATGGTGCAGAAATAATAACCAAGCAACAAAATCAATCATGTGATTGAATTACAGTACAAGCAAGTTTACAGGGCTGCTATAAAGGAGTATCTTGGAGTGTTTGAATAAGACATTTGGCAGCAGACCAGGAGCTGGGAATCTGAGTCTTTTATAAAACTTCTGAAGAGCTGGTAAGAGAGTCTGCAATTTGGACAGAAAAAGCAATAGGTAGAGAAGGTGGGGTTAACACTTTCTCTTATGTATTCCAGACCTTGGAAAGTTGGTTTAAAAAAGTCATTACTTACATATATTGTTCCAGCAGTCAGTCACTACTACCATTACAATAAAAGTTTTTACTTTCTAGCTAGCATAGATGGTTTGACTTATATGAACATACTGTACTTTTTTCCTGACCATCTCACTGTCTCCTCCATACCCAAAAAAGAGCACCTGAAGCAGCACAAGGCACAGCATGAACAAGGCCCTGAATCATGAAGTGTCCTTCCTCTAGCATTCTGTGAAGCAACACCACATCATGATAAAAGTAAATTTGCACTATGGTTGATATTGCAAAGAGAGTGATATTATCTCTGGGCGTTACAACTGTAATGTTATGTATTTATACTTTCATTACTGCATATATGTGCCAGACAATCTTGGTTGACAAGAAGCAGGTAAGGTAGGAAAAGGGGAGAAACAGGAGGTGGAAAGAGGATCAAGTTGTCTGTCCCCTACCGACACTTCTTCCTTCTAAATTGTGCCACTGCACCTTTTTTCACTGCGCTGACTTGCAATCCCAGCCCTTAGTCTTCCGTACAACATTTATTTCAGTGCTGAGCTGGAGCTCGGGAAGAAAAGAGAGGTTGCCTACTTGTAACCGTTCTTCTTCTAGTGGTCCTCTGTGAATCCACACAAATGGGTTGTTCTGCACCTGCGCAGGACGTCTCGGAAGTTTCTAGAGCTTAAAGACATGTGATTAGTAGGATGTTTCCCCATGGAGTGCATGCTCTGCCTTCCAAAAGTCCCCTCAGTTCCTCTAAGAGTCTGCCGCTGTCAAAGGCTTATATAAAAGACAATGGGATGGACAGAAGGGAGGATGGGTGGGATGTGTAGATTCACAGAGGACCACTAGAAGAACCATGGTTACAGGTAGGTAAGCTCTCTGTCTTCTTCGTGGCCTCTGTGAATGCACACAAATGGGTGACTGACAAGCTCACTTACTGGATGGTGGGACGTCACAGTAGAAATTGGACCATGTAGTTGCACGGCAGATGCGAGGAAGCTCTATTCCACAGTGGAAGGCAGGAGAGGTTGACAGCGCTCTGGTAGAATGAGTTCTCAAATGTTCAGGAGGTGTCTTGCCTGTAAGTTCATAGGCCAGTGAAATAGCTTGAACAATCCAGCGAGAGATAGTATGAGGCAAAGCTAGGGCACCCTTATGAGGGCCATGAAAACATAAGAAGAGCCTTGGAAACGTTCTGAATGATTTAGTTCTATCCATGTAGAAGGCCAAAGAGTGTCTTACATCATTTCTGAATGATGTAGAAGGCCAAAGAGCGTCTTACATCAAGCATGTGGAGCATGCACTCGAGAAGTGTAGAAGGAGATGGAAATAAAGTTGGTAAAATCAATGGTTGATTGAGATGGAAATCAGAGACAATTTTAGGTAAAAATAGAGGGTAACCTTATCTGGATGAAACTGCAGGAAAGGTGGGTCTGATCTGAGGGCTGCAAGTTCGCTGGCATGTTTAGCAGATGTTATTGCTACAAGGAACAATGTTTTTAAAGAAAGCAATTTGAAAGTAGTGTTGGCCATTGGTAGGAAAGG